CTATATTTATTTTATCTCTCTGTGTATATGTGTGCTTTTTGGGTTTTTGCTCAATCATTTGAAGCAAGTTATTTTTTTTTCAAATATATATTTTTTTTTATTGATTTTTTTTTTTTACAGAGAGGAAGGGAGAGGAATAGAGAGTTAGAAACCTCGATGAGAGAGAAACATCGATCAGCTGCCTCCTGCACACCCCCCTCTGGGGATGTGCCTGCAACCAAGGTACATGCCCTTGACCGGAATCGAACCCGGACCCTTCAGTCTGCAGGCCGACGCTCTATCCACTGAGCCAAACCGGTGCTGGCTGAAGCAAGTTATTGATTAAGTTATCACTTCACTCCTAAATTCCTCAGTATTCATCGCCTAAGAAAAGTGACATTCTCTTTCATGTCATAATACCATTAACACATCTAAGAAAATTAACAAAACTTCTGTGGTATCTCATGTTCGATTATATTCAAGTTAACTCATTCTCCCCCAAACTATCTGTTATAGCCATTTTTTCCCAAATCAGGATACATAGTTTTATGCCTCTAGATTTTTTAAAATATTTTTATTGATTTCAGAAAGGAAGGAAAAGGGAAAGAAACATCACTGATGAGAATCACTGATCAGCTGCCTCATGCATGCCCCCTACAGGGGATCAAGACCACAACCTGGGCATGTGCCCTTTACCGGAATCAAACCTGGGACCCTTCAGTCTGCAGGTTGATGCTCTATCCACTGATAATCTAGGGCTCTGGATTATCTTTTAATGAGAATGGTTTCCCTCTCACTGCCTTGTCTTATGTATAATAGTTATATGAGTGTCCAGACCAGGTGTCTTGTAGAAGGTCTCACCCTCTGAGTTTGTCAGATTATTTTCTCCTGGGTTGGCCTAGCATAGTGTTCGGCAAACTCAGTCAACAGAGCCAAATATCAACAGTACAACAATTGAAATTTCTTTTGAGAGCCAAATTTTTTAAACTTAAACTATATAGGTAGGCACATTGTTATTGACTTAATTAGGGTACTCCGAAGGCTTAGGAAGAGCCACACTCAAGGGCCCAAAGAGCCGCATGTGGCTCGCGAGCCGCAGTTTGCCGACCATGGGCCTAGCATGTCCTTAATTACCACAGAAACAATGGGGCAGCCCCAGTTGTAGGTGAAGAAAGGTACCTACCTCCCATCCCAGTCCTTGACTTCTACATGTTCTTGGGTAGTTTACCACCCCAGGCCATGGCCATAGCAGCATGGCCCAGATGTGGCCAGTACAGGATGTAGACCAGTGGTTCCCAACTTTTTTTTGGCCCTGCCCCACCTAAGCATCACTAAAATCCTGATGCCCCCCAACCCCGTGACATATAATTTTTATTATTCAAAAAGTGAACTCCTATTCACGTGGAGAAAGCCTAAAAGGCCATTAACTTGGTCTACACAGGCTTCCAAAGAACATGGCATTCATGGAAAAGAAAAATAAAAAAAAAGAAAGGACAGTTGAGTACTGAGAAAGAAATCACTAAGAAATTGTTAAAATATAATAATATGAAAAAATAGCAAAGTTTCAAAACATACAATAGAGAACTAAAATGCATAAGTATGTCACCATATATGTTTATATATGTATATGAGGCCCCTAGAACCAACCATAAGAAATGCGAAAGATTCAGATAGTAACTCATTCTTGAATTGCCCCCCTATGGGGCATGTGCCCCACTTAGGGAGCCACTGATGTAGATCTTAGATTTGTGACATTGGGCAAGTGACTTAGCCCTTCCAGTCTCATTTTCTCATCTCCAACAAGGGGATAATAGTATATGCTTCATGGGGAAGAGATTCTTGGGGCATAAGCATGATCAGTTGAGGCTCAGCCCAGAGGATATGTCTGGAAATGACAACTGAGGTCAGCCTTGGAGAAGGATCAGGCAATGTGTTCAGGTTTCAGGGTCTCAAGTGGGAATTAAGAGTGGGCTTTGCAGAGAAAGCAGAGCTGAGGAAAGATGAAGTCTGTGGTACTAGGGGGCCATTATGGGAGCCAGCAGTGTCAGGGACCCAGGGACTGTCCATGGGGAGGTATCCAGGAGACCAAGGGCTCAGAGAAGAAGCCAGGGCTGGGACGGAGTGAGGGGCTACATCATGGGAATGGGTTAGATGTCCCTAAGGTGGGGAAGGATAGTACAATTAATTAAAAGAACTATGGAGACAGATGCCTGAGTTCTTGTCCCAGTTCTACCATTTCCTGTTGGAGCCACTTGGCCCCTCTGTGCCTCAGTGTAAATGGGTTGTTGGGAGTTCCGGATGTGTTACCTCATGAGTGCTTAGCGGACAGCCTAGTACGGGTCACTACCGTACAGGTGTTGGCTGTTACTACTGAGGGGGCCACTGCTGAGGGATACAAAGGGAGGATGGCTTGCGGGGGGTGGGGGGCAGGTGCCTCCAAAGAAGGTGAGGTTCTTTAAATAAGGCAGACACTTGACCAGGCATCTACATCCTCTGACCTCTCTTCTCTCAACCCCAGATGATTTCCGGATCTTCTGTGGGGATCTGGGCAATGAGGTGAATGATGACATCTTGGCACGCGCCTTCAGCCGCTTCCCATCCTTCCTTAAGGCTAAAGTGATCCGTGACAAGCGCACAGGCAAGACCAAGGGCTATGGCTTTGTTAGCTTTAAGGACCCCAGCGACTATGTACGAGCCATGCGTGAGATGAATGGTGAGTGAGGCTTCTCCTAGGGACAGTGGGTGTGATGGCATCTGGCCTAAACCTGACCTTGAAATCTCCATTCTCACAGGAAAGTATGTGGGCTCTCGCCCCATCAAGCTGCGCAAGAGCATGTGGAAGGACCGGAACCTGGATGTGGTGCGCAAGAAGCAGAAAGAGAAGAAGAAGTTGGGCCTGAGATAGGGTCTGTGGCTGGGCACCCGCTCCCACTTGGCCGGGCGCTGACTTCTCCCCATAGTTATCTTTGGAAAACCCCCAACTATTCACCCACCCATCCTCCCCAAAACGAGTGTCAATAAATTTTTGTTCATTTCCATCGCTGGCTTGGCTTGAAAGCACTCTGGGGTGCAAGGTTTAGCACATCCTCCACCTGGGAATAGTGGGGAGCTTTGAGAATTAACCCAGACAGAAATGCAGATGGGCATTTTTCAGTCCCTCCTGAGTTCCCATAACATCTGGAGACCTCTTAGTGCATGCTGAGTGCAACCCATTCTACAGAAGAGGAAGCTGGGGCTATGGCAGGGCTGAAGCCAAGCTGAGGCTCAGACCCATGCTCTTCTGACTCCAGCCTGTGTTCTCAGCACCAAGGTAGGGGGCTCTGGGCCCTGCCCTTCTGGAGCTCATACCCTTCTAGGCTTTCAGCAAACTTACCTAGGGCCCCACAGTGCAAGAGATACATTGGTGATAAGCAGTCCCAGGTCATTTCCTCAGGCCTCCTGGTCCAGTGTCAGATAGTGACAGCTCAGATGGGTCAGGGTTGGGATGGGGAAGCTTGGTGCAACCTGGGAATCCAGAAGGGCTTCCCCTTAGGAACTGGTCACTTCTAAGACTCTCATTCTCTTCTGTCATTCTCTCCCAGTCTGCACTTCTCACCTTCTGGATCTCTGAGACTGTTTCCCAATTTTATCATTCTGTAAACCCTCTCTCTAGTCTCCTTGAGTGTTTCTCTATCTTTCTCTGTGAGTGCCCCTGTTTGTCCCTTGCTATGCCTCTGTTTCTCTCTGAATCAGTTATCTCTGTATCTGTGCGTCTCCTCCCATCTCTTCCCAGCTCCAAGCTTGTCTCTGCCTGTCTGAAGAAGTGTCCATGCAGGACCTTGAACACCAACCAGACTAAAAGCTTAGACTCTACCACAAAGGCAGCAGTTGAGACAGTTCAAGCAGGGAACTGGCATCACAGATCTGCACTTTAGAAAGTCCTGAGACTACTGTGGGCTGGAGGTCTAGAAAGGGCTGGGGCAGGGATGAAGCAGAGGTGGGAGATTGCATGGTTCCAGCATGAGGAAGGGATGAGGGTCTCCCAGGAACATAGTGGTCAGAACTCTGGATTGGTAGCGGGTAAGAGGGGAAGTGGGAAACAATGCCAGTCTCAGGGAAGTTAGCCACTCAGGAGAGGTGTCAAATTCCCTCTGTCTTTCGCCTTTACTGCCCCCTCTCTGATGTCACATTTTCCAGTCTGGTCAGAGGGTGAGGGCCTCCTTCCCCAGCAGGAAGTGCCCTTCAGTCCCCTGCCACCTGGGCTGGACCACCCAGACTGAGAACCCTCAAACCCCACCCCACCCCCATATCATTAGCCCTCCCTACTCCTGCCCTGCCTCTGCTGACTAACCGCAGGGGCAAAGGAGGAGATAAGGAAGGAGAATAATGCCAGAAAATAGGGTTTTAAAGTGTGCATTTAAATCTTCCTGAGAACAGAGAGAAAGATTGATTGTGAGTTGAGAGACAGATGGACAGAAATGGAAGGAAGCAGAAAAATGAAGAAATATGAGTACTGTGAGGCAGTACAATGGGACCGGAGGTGGGTAGAAGAGAGAGAGAGGCTCAAAAACAAAGACCTGGGGAGGGTTGCTGAATCATTTTAAGCAAGTTACAGACATCATAATACTTCAGCCCTAAATATCTCAGTGTTCATTTCATTATAGAGACATCATTCATATCATGATACCACTGTCACATCTAAGAAAATTAGTAATTCTATATGTCATATTCAGTTTATACTCAAGTTTCCCATTTGTCCCAAACTATTACAGCATGGAAGGGCATGGACTCTAGAGATGAAGAAAGTCTCCCTCAATTTCCTCTTTTCATAAAATAGAGATCAGACTTGTACCTACCTCATAAGAAAATTAAATGAAGGCTCATGGCACTGTTGGTGGCATGCAATGAGCCCTCAATAAAACGTTAGCTATCAGTATTACTGTTATTTTCTGTTAATCCTCCGCATCCAAGGATATTTTTTCGATTGAATTCTATTTTTTTTTTTTTTAGAGTGGAAGGGAGGGAGGGAGAGACACGTTGATTGGTTGCCTCCCGCAAGCGCCCCAACCAGGGCAGGGGATGGAACCTGCAACCCAGGTATGTGCCCTTAATCGGGAATTAAACCTGCAGCCCATCTAGAGCGGGCTATTTCTGTTGTTATTGTTTATTTTTTTAATGGTATTGTTATGATTGATGCTGCTCCAGAGCAGCCCCGGAATGTCCTCAAAGCCCTGGAAGGGGAGAACTCAAAGCCTGGTCAGGCCTCCCCTCCATCCCATCCCCCTCAGTCCCCCTGTGGATTGTGACGTAGGCAGACCAAGGGTCTGGCCGGAAATCCCCCTTCCTGTTGCAGATAAGCCTGGATCAGCCCAGCTGTACCCAAACCCTCCTCCCCACCTCCACCACCCATTTCGCAGAATCAAGCCCCCAAGATGGAGAACCTGTCCACCAAGCCCCCTGTCCCACTCCCATCACCTCCCTGCATCCCCCATTGCCCAGCCTGCTGTTCCCCAAGCTTCTGTCCAAGTCCTAGCCATCCCTGCAGCAGGACGGCCCCAGCTACAGGAGGCAGGCGGCCATCCCTGAGGGGGGGAGGCGAGAGGAGTGTAGCTCAGCCCCGCCCAGCCCCCTGCAACTCGACCTAGCTTCAACCCCCAGCTCTGACGTCTTGGAAAATTCCCCCCTGTCCAGGCCCCCAGGGGAGGGGATGCATGGTATGAAATGGGGCTGAGACCCCCAGGTGGGGACAGAGGAACCCACCAGAGGTGAGCCATCATGAACTGGGGACTGGGGGTCTGGACTACTGGGTCTGAGGGAAAAGGGCTGAGGTCCCTCCTGGTCTGAGCAAAAAGGACACTGGAGGCCAAGATTCCAGGGTCCTGGGGAAGAAGGGAGCAGAGGGCTGAACTGAGAGAAGCAAGGGCTGTGGCCCAGACTGCAGGGTCCCTACGTGTCCCCAGCTCACCCTGTGCCTTTCCGCCCCTGCCCAGAACATTGACAACAAGCATCCATGGACTTGTGGAAGTGGGATGAAGCATCACCACAGGAAGTGCCCCTGGGAAACACACTGTCAAGGCTGGGTAGGTTTGTGGGGCTGGACTGGGGGGGTGGGGGGAGGCAGATGGGTGCCTCCGCTGACCCTGACCAGCCCGATCTGATTGCCTGCAGAAGGAGCTGAGCTCGGCTTCTGTTTCCCAGAAGGGGCACTCCAAGGGGACACACTGACAGAGACATGCTGGGAAGGTGTTTGTGAGCTGGGCCCCCTGGGCGCTGGGGAATGTTAGGTCTGAGGGACGAAGGGGGCGTGCCTGGACTCCTGGGGTTTGGGGTTTAGTGGGGAGAGGGCTGCAGGCTTGAACTCCTGAGGTTGAAAGAGGAGGGGGCTGGGTCCTGAGTCCTAGGTCTG